ATTATATATTTAATAAACAACCATTAACCATTTCACTTTACAAATAAGTTGCTCCAACAAAGTTTTTCAATCTCTTTTTAAAAATCAAGTTTTGTTCAGTTTTTTATAAGACTTATGTTCTGTTTCTTTCAGCTTTAACAACTAAGTTTCAGTTTTCTCAGTAAATTTCAGCAAAGCTGCTTAACGCTTAGTGTTGCCTTTGAGCCTTTTCATAGAAAATGCTATTTGCTACATGTCAAATTGTGCACATTGTCCATAAATGTCATGGATTTCCCCATTTTGGCGGTGTAAGGATGTATAGAGAAATCTCACAGACTTTTTTCAAAGACTCAACTACAAATTTGTTTTACATCTTAGAGCCTAAAGGAAGTTTAAAAAAAACGTACATAAATTTAAATAATCACCTCCCAACCTGCTCTGCCGCAACGCAGCAAAAGTGTGGTACCACAAAATCTATTTCCTTGAGTTAAGACTATGACTGCAAGGGGTTGGCAAGGTTAAACTTGTGATACATGTTTGAATCCACAAGACTATATTTTTGGCTGCTTAGTAATTTAGACACCTGTAACAAAAGCTGAAAGCGTTAACGTCTTTTCGGTCTAAAGTACACAGAAGCAGCTGCCATGTAACTTCAGCTGACATCTGAGTGACTGGAAAGGCCCACCTAATGCAAATACTCTTTGAAGGGAAGACAACTCCAGCATATACATCTTCAACAACTCACTGGAGTCTCACTGCTCTGTTGGACGTTTTGTTTTCTACAACACAACCATGAAGCGGACCTTCACCTGCACCCTGATCCTGCTGAGCTTCTTTGGAACTTTGGGGAAATATGTTTATGTAAAGGAAGCTAAAACTTGGTTTGAAGCTCGGGCTTACTGCCAGCAAAAATACACTGACCTGGCTCCTATCAGCAGTAAAAACGATATAAAATGGATGCGGCAAGTTGGAAATGTCAGTTCCTTCAGCTGGACTGGAACGGAGAACAGCAATGGTGATGCAGAAAGGTGGATGTGGTGGGGAGGTGGAAGGATATCCTGGATGTTCTGGACTCAGAGCGATCCTACCGATACATTGGAAGAAAGCGAAGTACATGCTCCTAACTACTATTTTAATTATTTCTTTCAAATTCAAATTCCGTTTTTCTGTTACAACCCGATTGTGGTGAAGGAGAAAAAGACATGGGAAGAAGCCTGGCAATACTGCAGGAAGCATCACAACATGTTGGCCAGTGTGACGTCCGAAACGGAGATGCTGCTCATCCAGAGAGAACTAAGCAAAGGTGGTGTCACAGAACGCGTTTGGATTGGTTTACATTTCTTCCCTGTGGATGGGTGGCTTTGGGTGGACAATGAACCTGTGGATTATGAGGCCTGGGGTTCAGGGGGGAAACCAGGTTGCCCACAGGTCAACTTGGAGTGTGCAGCATTAAAGGTGAACAAATGGAACGATGGACTGGGCCACACTGGCTCTCATGGAGCTGCAAGAGGTGTACCTCCTGTTGAAGGTGTGCCTCCTGTTGAAGGGGTACCTCCCGTTGAAGGGGTACCTCCTGTTGAAGGGGTACCAACAGGTATACCAACAGAAGTGTCCCAGATTAATGCGCCTCCAAGCATATTAGCTAATGTTGGTACCACTCAAGGAGCTTCTAATGTTGGTACCACTCAAGGAGCTTCTAATGTTGGTACCACTCAAGGAGCTTCTAATGTTGGTACCACTCAAGGAGCTT